TTTTTAACATGTAGTAGTTTTTTTCCGTACACACTATCCTCCTCAGACTCGGCTCGTCAAATTACATTACGTTGTTATTGTTGTTGTTGGTGGTGGTGGTGTGTTAGTACTTAATTGTACAATGGGAAAAAATAGGATCAAATTTATGAAATGCTAGTACTCGCTCTGTTTTATATTAGTTGATCCATGTTGACTTGACATGTACCTTAAGAAAGGTATAATTAGAAGTGTATTTTACTAAATTAATCTTATTAAAGATGTTTTGGAATTTTATACTTGACAAGTACTACTACTTTATGTAGTTATTGAAAACTAAGGGCACTTGATTTACTAAAATGGATAAGTAAAATGAAATAATATAGAGGTCAGGTAAAATGAAACGAGGGAGTAGTACTTAAATGAAAAAAGGGTGATGTGGAATGAGTCCCACATCGGTGAAGGACGAGAACCCTGGACTCTTTATATGGCTTGGACAATCCTTCTCTTTTTGAGCTAGTTTTTGGATTTGAGTTAGGCTTAAGATTCGTTTGGTTAAAAAAAAATCTGCACTTAGGAATGTTGCCTAAAGGCCAATAAAATGAGTGAAAAGGTTGTGTTTTGACGGTCAATAAAGTGGGTGAAAATGACGAAAGACAATGCTAAGTGATGTCCTCCATCTGCCTAGACTTTTGGTGAGTAGAGTTGCCAGGTACGAATGTTAGTAAGAGGTAACAGATATCCAATTAAAAAATACTTAGTGAGCAGAGTTATTAGGTACCAATATTGGTAAGAGGTACTCGGTGAAATAGTCGAGGTGCAAGTGAAACAACCTAATCCGAACACCACGGTTACCAAAAGATAAAACAACAACATCTCACTCTACGTTAGCAGCTCAAAGATTGAGGCATTAGACAATCTTGTAGAAGATAAAACAAACGTTGCGTAGTTATAACTTGTGAGTTAACTTCAGGGACCATACTCGGGCGCTTTTTTAGTCAGACGTTAGATATGCTTAATCAAATAATATAAGGATCAAAATCGATGACTAAAACCAATATGTTCCCTTATAGTTTGTTGTTTTTCTTTGTCCTTGACTTCATTACTATGACTCATACGCAGTGGCGTAGCTACATGGTTGTCGGGTGTCCAATTGGACACCCTTCGTCAGAATTTTTTTTTGTAGCCTAATGGTTTCAGACGCTTGTAATGAGGGAATGCTTGCGTGTTTGACTCTCACTAATAGCAAATGTTTTTTCCACTTTTTGAATAGAGTTTTTGTTATGCTATTTCTGGACACCCTTTGTGAAATTCCTTGTACCGCTACTGTTCATACGCTATATGTACTGCTAATCGTTGATGCTTTGAAGCAAGATAATCAATGTGTATAAGCTGCAGAGTATAGTAAACTCTAGATATGGATATCGATACGAGGAGTTTCTTAGCATTTTGTTGATGTTTAGCTTAGAGCTATTGACTTACTATCAAATGTTGAATACATCAAACTAAGGTGATGGAGACACAAGACACATTGGTTCTCCAACTGCAAAGCCGCGCTCTCTAGAAATACCTTCCGTAAGTAGTCTGATGTGATGATCCAATTTCCTGTTTCGCGTATGTCATGTATGTTAACTGCAAGTTTTGTTACATTCTTTAGGGTGCAGTAATTGTTGGACGCGTTGCTGATAAGGCAGATGTAGTCATTCCGGTACCTACAGGTAATAAAATCATTCATGTGATAGCTTATATAACCTCTCATTCTAATTCAGTACTCTCCGAACTGTGTGGGAAGTTTTCTCATCACACGACTCACCAACTTGATCTTCCATGGGACAGTTTACTACAATTCTTACACTATCGATGCAGTTTAACTTGTTATAACTGGTTGCCCTCTCTTACTTTTTAGTTTCACCATGGTATGAATAAGACAATTACTTATAGTTATCTTTGAGGTGATCTAATAGTAAATTACACTGTCAGTATATAGAAGTTAAACTCTTTCTGAAATGCTTTGTTTTTTTTCATCTTTCGAGAATAAATTGTTGCCAAACGAAACGTTTAGTTTCTGCTTGTATCTGAAAATCTGTTGATGTACAAACAGTATCTGCAATACATGCTCGGCTGCAGAACATGGAGGACTATCTCGTTGTGACTGATTTAGACAGCACGAATGGCACTTTCATCGGTGAGAAAAGGCTCGTACCTGGTGTGGCTGCTGCTGCATTGCCTGGAAGTCTCGTGACGTTTGGTAAAACTTTCAGTGCCCTGCTTTCCTTTTTCTTTAATAAGTAACGAACCACATTATCAACTTCGTGTGTCTACTTCTTCATATTTTGAACGAAAATCCTGCTCCGCTACTACTACTTGTTACATCATCTTTGTGAAGAAAAAGGCATACTTTACTATAGATATTCAATCTTTCATTTCCATTCAATGATTTTTTTTCTCATACTTATGATTTATGAGTGGCAACACGACGAGAAGGGATCCTTCCTTGTCCATGGGGTAGTTGTATTGTTTGCACGAGTTTATCAAGTATTTAACTTATATACACTGACAACGTAAACAACATTTAAACTATCACCGTATTTTAACCTGTTGGTGTATGTTCTCAAAAATAAAATTGGTTTACTAGTCTCACTTATTATGGTGAGGTGACAAATTGTCAGTTTATAGAAGTTAAACTCTTGTATTATATGTGTCAAACTTCCTACTACCCCGAGTTGATTAGTCTTTTCGAAACATCTTGTCATTCAGGGGATACTAATTTGGCGATATTTCGAGTTGCAAAGTTTGAGAAGTTGGAAACTGCTGCATCTGAAGTTGAAGAAGAGGAACCAAGTAGCACCTAAAAAGAGCCCAGAATTTCATTATCTGCAATAATTTTGTAAACAGAGGAAACATATATATATATATATATATATATATATATAAATGTGAATTTTTTTTAACATGAACTTGGGGTTTAATTACGAGTTAATTCCCTAAACGATCACCCATATTTTGAGAATTGTCTTTAAATATTACTTTTTGTTTCCCATCAAATTTGTATATTAGCCTTGAATTTTGTTTTTTTTATTTGTTCGTCGTGTTATGGTGAGAAATTGTCAAATAGCCTTGTCCATCGTGTGTTATGTAACGTGTATTTGTGTATCTAAAAATCCTAGTCGTCACAGTTGATCCCAATCCTACTTGTTCGTTAGGTGTTTTAGAGATCGCCATCATTGAACAAATACTTGACATATACTCGCTTCGTCCCAAAATAAGTGTCACCTTACTAAACATCACGCCCATTAAGAAATCAATAAATACAATGAGTAATTTACTAAATTTCCCTTTTTAATAAATGTCTCTTGAAAATTGAACATTATTATGTAGATGAAGTATAAGGGTACAGTTGAAAAAACATAGTAATTTTTGTCTTGAATTCCTAACGTGACACTCGGGACAATTGTTTTGCTAAAGAGAGACTTTGGAACGGAGGAAGTAATTTGCATTCCCTTCACATGCAATTAATCTTCCATACAATTGCCAATGTTGTGCACTTACCATTTGAAAATAAATAAATTCGATATGGTTGGTCACACGTATAGTTGATGTCTTCACATACATCCAACTTCTGCTTTAAAAATATGTACATACACATATAGTTACAATAATAAACTATATCCACTCGATTCAATCAGAAACGATGTTTTATGTTCGCGGATACAATGCATTTTGCTACGTTTTGAAAGAAGTTTAGGGAGGAAATTTCACTATATTTTGCAAAAACGGATGCTAATACTACTTATGAAATTTTCCCTCAAAATTCTTTATATCCAATTGGATGTTAGCCCAATACCAAGTCTAGTAATCTAAATTAAAAATTAAAAATTAAAAATTAAAAATCAGTTAATACCCCTATTAGCCAACTTAATAGGAATGTCGACTAATGTACTTTATGATATTTTCATTTTTTAATTTAGGGAAAAATGATAAATATATCCCGAACTATCGTAAATGGTATGCAAATACCCTCCGTCATACTTTTGGGACATTGATGCCCCTGTCGTCCAAAAACTAGAACATATATGCCCTTCATTCTATAACGGAAGACTAAATAGGGACACGTGGCACACTCTTATCCGCCGATTTGATATTTAATATATATATTGAGTTGGTGGATAAGATTGTGACATGTGTATGTCCATTAGTATAACGAATATATATGCTCTAGTTTTGAATGACAAGGGCACCAATGTCCCAAAAGTATGACAATAGGTATCTGCATATTATTTACGTTAGCCCCTGTCGTCCAAAAACTAGAACATATATGCCCTTCATTCTATAACTCTAGACTAAATAGGGACACGTGGCACACTCTTATCCGCCGATTTGATATTTAATATATATATTGAGTTGGTGGATAAGATTGTGACATGTGTATGTCCATTAGTATAACGAATATATATGCTCTAGTTTTTGAATGACAAGGGCACCAATGTCCCAAAAGTATGACAATAGGTATCTGCATATTATTTACGTTAGTTTTTTTTTATGACAAGGAAAACCCGCAGCCGCTACCCTTTGGACGCGCACAGGGTAAAAACCCCCCGCTCCTATGCAATAGCTTGCAAACCACATAGGAGAGGTAACTCGCACTAGGCAAGCCCAGTGCGACAAGCTCAACCCAGAAGGCAAACCCTTGCTTTCGCTAGCAAGGGGTTTCGAACTTGAGACCTCCAACATGGAAGTCCCAAGCCCAAATCACTGAGCCACCCCCAAGAGTTACCATTTGCGATAGTTCTAGAGTATATTTGTCCTTTTTCCCTTTAATTTATAATCGTTTGGGCAACAATTATGGAGAAAACTGGTAATATTTTCCATCCATATGGAATGTGGTTTTATAGTGCCTAAGCTCATGAAATTTAGAATAATTCAAAACTATGATGCTCATTCTATCATCCGAAAAGAGGAAAAATGGAATATCTTGTCTAAAGAAATGCGTTGAGAAAGGGCAGATGTATAGTTCAGGCAAATGGTAACAAAAGAATCGTCTTGCCAGAATAAAACACATACAACAGATTCAAGAGCATTCATGTTATCAAAAATCTCAAGAGTCGCAATATTCCTTCAATTTTAAGTAGCGCAACGTAGCAACAAAACAAACTGGCAAATCTAGTCACAAATTAATTTTTACAGCAGCATATCTTACCCCTTCTAGTCTCAACCATTGCAACTTCTTATTAGCATATCTCCTGAAATTTTTGCTACAACAAGTGGGGGGAGGACAAAAAAATTGGAAATTCTACGAGCTTAATGCTAATGCAGAACCGGGAAAGATCTAGCAAGTAGGCACTGCTTGCTACCAAGGAAATCTCATAACTACTAACCCCCCGCCACAATTCCTCTTCAACTAAAAGACCAACTATGCATGTCGATGCAGTTGGTCCCATCGATCACTGTAACTTCAAGACAATCAAGTATCTGCTCTTTCCTTCAACATCAACACGGTTACATGTTGCATCAATGCAACTTGCCTCTACTCACTGGAAGAAATACAACATTCTCCGTGTCTACTCTACAAACTCCTGTAATCTATTACGGTAACTTCATCTTCAGGCGCATCAAGATCTTGATAGCTGCAAAATTGTTGAACTGTAGGTCAGTAAAGGAAGCATGAATATTTATTTTTTTCAAAGAAAGCAGTGTTTTATTCATAAGAAATTAAATCACATTCCATGGCATGTATTCATGTAAATGCATTTAGGTCAGTCACATCTCCATTCAAACACAAAACAACTACATTTACAGGATTCGATCAGGGCAGAAGTTCCTTGAATGAAACGAAAATACAACCAAGATATAACCAGATAAATAATCATTAGCTGCTCAGCTCAGGCAATGTAACAATATGATCTTTTACAGCTCTCTTGTACTGCCTTTTTCCTCTAATTCTGAAAATAGATTCAAAGTGGAAAAACTTCCATACCAGATAGTCATTCCGACGACTCCAGCATATGAAACACCAACAAAATGCTACAATTTGCAAATCTAAAATGTTACTCACACCTCCAGTATTCAACTTCCTCGAGGATAATTCTACATGTCGCATGGAAACAGACATACATTTTTACAAAAATTGTGGGAGTGATGTGAGTATGTCACTACAACATATAACGCATGACAACTGAATACATAACACATGACCACCAGCATTACACACTGGTACTGAGGCCTACTCATTTTGAGTAGTTGTATTTTGGAAGTAAGCAATTGTAACAAGAAAAGAAAATCAGTGCTAACAGATCTAGAGGCAAAGAAACAACTTCCAAGAATTTCCAGAAGTAGCTCTGCTTTGGCAAGTTAGACATTCCTCCATATACTTTATAAGCAAAACAAGTTTTCTTGATTCTGAATCTTGCCTTGAGAACATAACACAAACTAGACTCCTTTTGTCTTTTATATCTGTCCGTCTTCTTCTCAACGTGGAACCCATGATCAAAAGTCTACTTTAACTTAATCTTCAAACATAGACAAACCAGCAGGTGTAGATTTATCTTGGACATGGCTCACCGTGATTAGTATTCACAAGAATTGCTTCTACAAAATCATGCATGAACAAGGCAATAGCTCCAAATTGTAGCACAAGTACCATGTAGTGTGCGTATCATGCTTTCTTCTCGTTCTTTTTTTTCAAATCAAGTAAAGTATAATATTACTGATAGTAGGAAAGCGCCTATGTACAATAGGTGTACAACAAAATAGAGAATATACAGAAACATATGATTCTCTGTGAAGACACCTGATCTTCTGTACACAAAGGAACCCCATATTCACCATTTATCAATAACATTACACTTTACTCAATCTAAAAAAAAATCAACAGAAGCTCATTAGCTTCAACAGTCTCCTATTGATTTCCCTCTATACTACCCACATAAGTGCTAATGGTCCATGCAACAACATCCCTCGCCGACATCTTTGCTTTCGTCCTGTAAAGGCTCAATACATAATGCACCCCCTTGCAGTACCTAACAATGTCCATTGTAATCCTACAAGTGGGATTTGGGGGAGGGTGGGGTGTACACACACCTTACCCTTACCTTTGGAGATAGTGAGGCTGTTTCTGTTAAGATTCTTGACTCAATAAAAACGTTTTTCAAAATAGGTTCGAAAAATACAAGAGTAAGGAAGCTATGATGAAAATATCAAAGGGAAGAAACATACAAACAACAACAATATACACAATAAGTGAGACCTGGAGAAGGTAGAGTGTACGCAACCCTTACCCCTACCATGGCAGGTAGAGAGGCTATTTCCGATAGACCCTCGGCAAAGGAAAGAAACATAATGACGGCAAAAATAGTAAGGAAACCCAAAGTAACGGAAACAACATTAGTACTAAAATTAAGATGATAGAATAATAATATTAAAATGGGTCAGTAGAAGAGGAAGCAAATTAAGTGCTCCAAAACTAGGTTAGTAAGTAACAGACATTAAAAGGGTATAATCAAATACCAAATGAAAATTACAAGCAGTGTTATGGTTAGTAACCGGAATTAAAAAGTGTGAAGCACGCACAAGATATTCTAGATGAGTAGGGGATAGACAGCTAGAAGCGTTGTATTATACATGGGTTGTTTCCAACATATAGATTTTTGTTAGCCTAACAATACTTTTATGATTGTCTAAGAATTTTATGTTTATAGCCCACAGGGCGTCAAAACTTTTTGATCCAAATGAATAAGAGACGATCAATATAGAAAATATAAAAAAGTGGAATCTGACCCACCTCAAAATATATAGTAATTGTTAACCAACACGTCGGATTTGGGACCAGTGCTATGTCAACACGGACCTCCAACCCCACTTTCCAGGGACCATTTATAAGCTGATGTGAGCCCTTGCTCACACAGCCTAAAACTCAGCCCTAGTTTTTATTCACCGCATCTCAACACCAAAATAAGACTGTGCAAAGCCTTTATTATAATCTTACATCAAACCATTCGAAGAGCCATTATCTAGAATCGGCTTTTTGACCGACATACTTTACAAGTCATCAATATACTATACCAACACTTTGGAACCCATGTTGTCTCTTCTAACCTAAGAGAAATAATTTCACTTGTGCAGTACTGAAACAGTGCAAACTTCACAATTGACCAAATTTTACTGATTCTAGTGAGATGGAACATTTGAATGATGGTAACTAGTAGTTTCACCATTAATCAATCTGAAAATAATACAATGCACAAAATACCTTCGCAAGCGACGAGGATCCTGTCGAAATCCGGGAGGTAAAGCAATTATCGGGCCTGCAGGCCCAGACATCCCATTTCTGCCACCTTCAAAAGCAGTAGGGCCTCCTTGTTCTCGCATCATTCGCATTGCAACTTCAGGAGGCGCAGGAACAAATGGACCAAGAGGACTACATTGCAGTGAAAATGAAAAAAATAATCAAAATTCAAGAGTGATATCCGAGACATGGCTAAGACCTAGGTTATGCAAATTTAACAAGTTATGGGAAAGAATTATTTTAAGTTACCCAGCACCAGGAACAGGCATCAATACTGGTGGAGGAGCCATGTCAGAAGGGAAAGAAGCAACTGGAATCCCTTGTCCACCAAAAGTATCAAACATTTCTTCATCAGGATTTCCCCCACTGGCACCATCATTATTGGACTGAAAATCCCCAGATTGTGGATTTTCAGACATATCAAACCTTTCACCACCATTAGCACGTCCATCCCGACGGTTCCCTCTGTCATCCTTCAGTCGGCCATCTAGCCCAGGTCGGCGCCTTAGTGGCTTCTCTTTCTGCATAGAACCAACATGCAGTTAAATTCACCACTGATTGAAAGTTCTAGTAAAACGAGGACTGATTACTGCATGAGATCAAACTGCTCTTATCTAATTAATTAACATATAAAGACGGATAATGTACCTATGATACATAAGCAAGAATACAAAAAAGATAAACAGCATTGAAGTACAGATGACAAACAATGGAACTAGCCTTATAACACGAGTGCTAACAATAAGAACAATCCAGCTGATGTGAATTCATCACAGCAATGAAGATGTCAGAGACCCAAAACTACTCGGTTCAAATCAATTATGTTAAACATCACTAACTGCCATCACATGTGAAGGCAACATTTAGGGTTAAAAACGTGCATGAACTATCAACAATTTTCTAACTGGGATGACGTGTGAGTAGTTTTTGCATCCAAACAAAACTTCACACATTCTTATAATACAAGGACAAATCAATCAAAAACATTTTAACTTCACCATTGTTAGAACTTGCTCAACAATTTTAAAAACACTATCCTCCGTTCAAAAAAAAAGGAACTATCTCTGTACTAGTCTATTTCAAAAAGAATGTCATTTTACTATATTTGGAAGCAATTTAACTTGAACTTTCTATTTTACACCTAATGACAAGGGTTTATAACCACACAAATGATATGGCATGTTTAAAATCACAAGTTTCAAAAGCCTTGTAGCCACACAAATGTCATGGCATGTCTAAGAACATAAGTTTCCCAAGTCCTTTTTTCCTTAAAGTTTGTACCCAGTCAAAGTACATAATTTTTGTTGCTTGTGCAAGAGTAAGTAGTGAACATATAATTTCAATAAAGATGTCAACTAAGAAAGACCAGAAGTCCATGTAGAGTCGGGGAATTCGAACTTTAAACTTGCTCAGCTGACAGTATGCCCTATAAATTGATATGTAGGGAGAATGAGGTACTGAAGCACACTTGTCCAAACCACCAGTGCTATCAGTATATGTTTTTTCAATGACTGAAAAATCTGTTGTTTCTAGCTTCAATACTAGGTGGATATAAATGGCACGACACCATTCCTTCTCCACTTAAATACTAGATCTGGTTCAACTCATGAGATGTGCAGTGCCTACCACACATTTCGTGTTATACTACTTTTACCATTGAACTAAAGCCCTGGAGACCGGACAATAATAAGTATAGGTTTCTAATCCATTTGATACGCTGAATTTAGAAGTTTGATTTCAGTTCCATACAGCATCACAAGACTACTAGAGAGATGAAGATATTGAAAAACTTAGATACGACTTAGAGAACATGCCAAACTTACTAGTTCTCCAGCGTACCAATTCTATAACTAGTTTCTAGAAGATGGAATCAGTTGTAGCATACAATGTTCAATATCATAATGTCTATCACGTAGAAAAGGTGCCAGAATCATTCGCACGCCCAAATAGAAGATCACGGATTCCAGTCTCAAAGTCTTCATCACTTGGACAAATTCAAAGGGGTCATTTCGCTAATCGCGTTATTGAAAATAATCATGATATCAAGTTACAAGTTCAATAATCAGGTGCTTGTTGCCATATTTGATTTCCCTGAGAACAATAACTGATAATAGCTATGCCAGTACCTTCAGAAAAGCATGTAGATGACAACAGCGCCTTTCGCATTATTATTATTGGAAATTCAATCATCTCTTGTTGTCACTCAATTTTTTTCTTCTAGTATGTTTTATGGTATTATAATTTAAATCATAAGAATTTTTGAAAGTTTAGTTTTGTGAAGAGGAATGCAACATTTATCCATGCACGAGGTTCAAAAGTTAAATTTCCTTAGACCAATGGAGCAAGGTTCAAAAGTTGATGAATAATGGACCCAAGACTCTGCCCTCTATTCATTGATCTTGTGGTTTATCTCATCTCATTTTAAATTTCGTTTTCTTTTTGTTCTTTATTTGAGCTAATTAAAACTTTTGATAACGATACATCTTATAAAGCTCTTTATTATTATTATATATTTTGATGAAAAATTAAGCTCTTTATTATATTACACTAATTATTTTATTTATTTAATAGAATAATGGACAATAAATCAATCCACTACACCTCAATCCCGAACTAGTTGGAGTTGTTACATAAATCCTCCATATTCTTTCCACTATTGGGACAAAGATATTACAAGAAATAAATCTGCATCTAATTTTAAATAAAACAGATACTTAGATGATCACCATATATCATTATTAATACCATTAACCAAAACATCTAACAAACTACAAACAAATAGCAGTCATTATTCACGGAACTAAAATCCTCTATTACAGTCCATGTATAATTTGTCCGAAAACCAATCGACCCACAAAAGTAATATGACAAAACCTTAAACTTAAAGCATGTTTTTTTAGATTCTTCAAAGTGAAGACTAAAGAAAGAAAGCAGCAAAGTTCATAAGACATAACAGATGGATACTACAGCATTACTTAGTCACCATTAGAAAAAGTATGAGAAGAAGCCTGGAATAGAAATTAAAAACATTCAAACACACATGCGAAGTAAGAACCCAACAAATGTTACTTAACATAAAGAAGGAGAAATGGATAGCTTACCGGCACAGATGGCAGCATTACAGGAGTCCCACCAGGAGAATTTTCATCACTGAGATCATTTAAAGCCTTTAGCCTTGAAACTAAAAGTAAGAAGGTGGAAAATAAGATATTACTGTGTACTGCACTTACTTCATATAGTTCTGGAAATACAAATCTTCACGCACTTTAGTAGTCAGATCCACCGACAGATCAGGGTGTTTCAACTTTAAATGTTTGTGGACGAATTCAGATGCATGGAAGAGCTTTGTACAACCCTTGGCTCCGCAACCATACTTCCAGCCATACTTCTCATCCCTAATTTTACGGACATAGGGATCTAAGGCTTCGGCAGCAACAGCATCAAGTTTTTCCTTTGCAGCCATTACCTCCAAAGGATCCTTCCCCTTCAGCCTGTCTTGCCAATGAGAATCTACTTTTGTTTCCCACTCTGCTCCATTGCTTGTTGCATCAGAAGCCTTGCCATCCACTCTCACATGCCGGAGACCCTTAGCTTCATTTGTCTCTGCCAGGCCATAATAATCTACCCCATGAATGCGCCACAGATAGGTTAGAAGTGTATCAAGTAACTCAGTTCCCTCAAGACCTTTTACTGAAGTTAAGCCCCTTATGATAATAACTGGGCCTGTGGAGCCATGAGACTTGTCTCTGCTTCCCCTATCATTATCAGACCGAGATAATATGTTATCCTCTATTCCCTTCTCCGAGTCAAGCTTCCTCACAAGTGCCTGTGCTTGTTCAACATCAATCTGGACTCTTCTGGGATCAGAACTCACTAGGTGAGCCTTTGGAGCAGCTGAAAGTAAGTCAGGGTCTTTAGTGGGTCCCCTCCCATGCCGCCTCCTTTTGCCATTTTCATCTGCTTCTTCATCGGAATTTGGTTCACTTGACTGTCCTGATTTGTTTGTAGGAGGAGGTGTAACACCAGGCCCTCTATTTATGCAAAGATTTATCACTTCAGCAAGCAGGACATTATTTCATCTTGCATATTCCATATATTAAGAACAAACTGATCTTACATGTCTAGAGTTCCACTCTGCAAATCAAGTAAGAAATCCTTCGCTGATTTCCTTGCAAGCTCATTCCTCCTACAGGAAATTAAGACGGAAAGGAAGACTTTAGTAGAACCAAAATCATACACCTGACTAGAACAATAAGTAAAAGGTCTAAAATCAGTTGGTCCAAGTAACAAACAAGAGCATCTCCAAAGCTATCCCTACAAAATTCTGTGCATGGTATCAACATGTACCTTTCAATAACAGAAATTAAGTTTGATGGATGGTATTTGTCTTTCAACCTGCATATACAAAGAACTTCTATTAGAGAGCTCAAACAAATAGACATAGCAGGACAAGTTAGGTGAGCTGGAAGTGTACCATTCTTCATCTTTATGAGCGTTAAAATAAGCTCTTTTTTGTGCTTCTATGTACCCAGCCTTGTATTCTTGGTACCTGCATATACGGAGAATTAGCTCCATTATTTTGCGTGACATATTTTTACACAAATATGAGAGAATGTACTCAAAACAAAAAAAAAATCTGCAAGTTATACTGAGGCCAATAAACTAAGCTTAAATTGACACATCTACAGAACAAGATATCATCTTGGTTTCAGTCTCACCTGCGCTCAGCTTCAGCTGGCAAGATATCATCTTCAAGCTCCTGAATGAATTGCTTATAAGACTTCAATCCCTCTCTGCAACATGTTCAAAAGAATGCATTGATTATTTAAACCAAATGACACCCCCATCTCAAAAAATTTAAGAAAGACTAATGAAATAATACAGGTCCCAGATCATTTTCATATAACAATTCAACTGAAAGCAAATCACACAAAATTTGTGGAGAAGTTTCATACTCTCATGCATAAAGGTACTATTTGGTTGAATGGAAAAGGAAAAGGAGGATGAGAGTTAATCATCTGGCATTTAATGAGGGAGAGGTTCACATTTACAAACTTTGTTTTGTTAAAAAAGAGACACCCCTCTGGAAAAGGTCTATTTTGCAAGGGGATTAAGGGAGGGGGTAGATGGTAAGTAGGTGTTTGTGTAAGTTGTTACCACCCCACATTCGCCTGTTTGGATGAACTTGTAACTTATGGCTTTTGGCTTTTTTTTTGGTTATTTTGGCTTAAAAACAAGTACTTAAAGCCACCTTTTTATTTACCCAAACACTACAAACTGCTTAATGGCTATTTTGGCTTAAAAGCGCCTAAAATAAGCCACAATCCAAACAGCCTCTTTCTATTTTACTTTCCTTTTCCATCCAAGCAGACCTGCAAAAAAAAATCGTTTCTTTTTCTTTTCATTTACCTCAAGCCACTTTCTTGTAAAACACAATTTTCTTGTTACATTCTTGATGCCCAACTAAAAATCAGAGACACAGAATTCATTCATCATAAACATGACAAAGATAACATGGGAGCAAGCACTTCCACTCAAATAATAGCACTCACCATGCAGTTGAGCTCGTTACTTGCAAACTAAACACCTTCTATAGGAATGTATAGGACTAACTTAATTAGACGGAAGTCTGGGGGGGATGCTCTTTTACAATCATAGAAGTTGCAAGGAGGTGTAAAGGCAAACACGAGAACATTGGAAAGAGAAATGATATATGACACAAACGTGTACCTTTGATTGTTCCCTGCACCAAAAGTATCTGCAAATCCTCCACGACCAGGGCCCCAGTCTAGCAAAAAAACAAATATAGGTCAAACCTCTATCCCTAGAAATGCCAAGCGCCACCAGAAGTTTGGAGCAAATAATTTGATCATAAATAATAGTACTAGACTAAAGCTAAGAATGGATAACTGAAGTCAAATCAACCAGGCTGCACCTAAAAGACTATCAAAAAGTTCAAATATGAACATTTCTCCCTCAAGTTTGTTGAAGACATAAGTGGATTATAAGGGAACCATATAAGGCCATCAAACTAAAGGGTAAAATCAGCCAACTAACAATCCTATATAGCAATGAATATTTACATGGCGCACTCTAAAAATACATATTACTCAAAATAAAAGTTTAAACTTTAAATAGCAGAAATACTACACATTTAACACGCCCACTGATAGCCGATACTCCATGAGAGTAAAATATAAATGAGACTGACCACCTCGATAGCCACCTGACGAGCGTCCTACAAATCGTCCATGATGCCTCTCATCAGGATAACCAGGTCTACCCCCCATCTCACGGTCATAACCGCCTTGATGGTCATAACCATATCTGCAATATCAAGAACTTTTCGTAAGCACCATCATAAGAACACTTGCAAGATAATTCGACAACAGAAAAGATCAAATTTGTAAATGCAGGGAAATCACAAGGACAATAATTATGCTATAGGACAAATGCCATGAATAAAGAGCATGAATAATAAAGAAAATACTATGAATGATGCTACTTTGGACGACTAGAGAAGTGTGCAAATAAAGACGAGAAAAAACAGGCAAAAATTCATTAGTTTCCTCATTTATATTTTTATTCTTATTTAACAAATAAAGCGGCTGATCACGCTTTTATCTACTCCCACTCTGTGTGTGTCATTATTTAGTAAGGACTCTTCCATTGCATAAAATAAACTTGGCAGTATTTGAGAAGTGCAACTCAAAAGGTCAATACAAGGTTGGGAAATGGATCTGTTCGCCAGAATAGAGAGGTTCACCATTGATGTGAACCTACCTGACGGGAAAAAAGAACATTCTCACAGTGAAAGAATGTTACAAGCAGACCTGTATCCTGAATAAGGTTAATGACCTCTGGTTATGGAAGCTGATACGGAAAACTAAATTGCCCACCAAGGTTATATGCTTCAATTGGACTGCTCTAAATGGAGCATGTCAAGACACCCTCATAGAAAAGGCTTCCACCAGTCAACCGCCTGGAGAGTGTCAGTCACTTCATTCCTACATTGTCCAATGGCCACTGACCTGCAGAATATGTTCTACTGTAGTTTTGGTTTGAATTCGGTCATGCCACATCATATGAGATAGGCTTATAAAAGAAGATGGAGTTCACAGAGAGTTGAGAAGGCCATCAAGAACATCTAGTTGATGATTCCTGCATTTACTTTTTGGTGTTTGTGGAACGAAAAGAACTGAACATGTTCTTATGAAATTCTCAACTCCAAATGACTCTCTCGAGGCAAAATGTTGCTTACCTTTTTTGCTGGTTAACACCTGTAATTAGCACTTGCTAATATTTGAATTTTCTTAGCTCCCTGGTATGGACTGACACAGTGTAACGGGGCTAACAAACTCTTTTACATGTACTTATCTATTTCTCTGTAATTATGCATCTAATTGATGGCTTTTCAATTGAAATACCACTACTTCCACAAAAAATAATTACCATATGTCATTGAATGCAATTATGCAAGAACTCATAACAAAGAGTAAGTTAGAAAAATGCAAATAGACGACAAAAAAACAGTTTTTTGTGTTCATATTTGATTTCCCTAACATCAGGAAACTTGCACCAAGCCACCAACATATCAAAGGTTGCTGATAGATCTAACGTACTCCCTAATCTCTAATCTAATGTTTAAAAACCTAAGAAAGTGAATGGCTTTAGCTTCAAAACAAAATCTGGTAAGTTAAAATGATGTTGACCAATTCAGCTATAAAGGTTATAAGGTGATTCCAAGATTGTTCTGCAATTCGTAAGGTATTCAGCAAATAATATGCATAGTTCCCAGATTCTACAGCGGTGAAATAACAGCTTGGTAGGATCTATTTTGCTTATCACCAGTGATCTGAGTGAGGGTTCCTAAACTGTAACATCAACCAATTTTCTTGAAAGCTGCAGCGGACCTAAATTGGAGGAATTGGAACTTAACTTACAGTCCATAAAATCCTTTTATTTCCTACAATTAGTCTGTCATCACTGATCTTGGGCTCATAGGGTTTTCTAAAGCTTAGCACTAGAAATTACTTAACCCGGGTCCTTTACTGTTCACCAGTGTAACCAGCAACAAATTTTAACTCTTGTTAGACAGCACTGTGTTATATGCAAGTAGAGTATTAAGAACTCCTAAGAAATTTAAAAATAAAAAATAAACAGCAATTCGTCATCCCAAAGGCATGGATGGTACTCCTTCATGTAATTATGCAAACAATTATGTGATCCTTAAATGCTTTTGAAGCTATATCAGGACACCATGTTAACTGGTCAAAAGTAGCTTGTTTGAAGTTAATCCAGTCCAGAATATGCAGGTTTTGGCTACCATTCTTGGGTGTCAAATAGGTCTCCCCACAGTGTACTTGGGCATGCCTTAAGGGGCAAAACAGAAAGCAGATTCTATTTGGCAAGGTGTGATAAGGAAATGTGGAAGGAGATTAGCTAACAAGATAGAGTTTTGGATTCCATGACATCTTTTATTAGGTCTCTTTTTCCAATACCTAACAGGGTAGAAAAAAAAGTAAGAACTTCCCCCAAGTCAAATGGAGTACTGTCATATCAATCAAGAAAGAAAGGAAGGAAGGGATCAAGAACTTGAGAACACAAAATACGAGCCTTTTGATGAAATGGTTATGCAGATTTGATTCGGAAGACAGTGCACTAGGGAAGAGGGTAGTCACGTTGAAATATTTTCAATTGAATGAATGGTATTCAAATATAGAAGCCCCGCCAAAGGGAGATGGAGTTTGCAAAACAATCAAAGCACTATGGCCCAGCTTCTCCCAGAAGCTTAGTTATAAAGTAGGAAGAAGAATCTCCTTCTTGCTACCATTTTGTGCTTAACACATCCAATTTGTTAGCTTCTCAAAAGAAAAAAACTGGAACCTCACAGAAGCTACCTTTTTTCAGGAAATATGTGCATTATACGAGGGACCAAAACTAGAACCTCACAGAAGCTACTTTTTCAGCTTAACACCGCTGTTCTAATAATACTAAACCCTCAAAAAGCCCAACCTTAGGTAATCTTTGTCAGCACCTAAACATTTTGATAGCAATTTCTAGGGGAAATGGGCAATGCCCTGGAAAGTATACTGTGTTCCTGTTGCATATACTAATCTAACACACTGATGGATCAACAAGTGCTATATTTCACCACATTTATTTTTATTATAGTATATAAGTTCCTACTATTTCTTCCTTTCATAACCCAGGTCCCAGAAATCTACTATTTTTCAGCTTGAAACAAGGTGAATCATGAGTTGCTCCTCTACCATTCTCCACTTAATTATTTATGTAATCCTACTACATAACTATAACAGCCATAACTATGCCTCAGTATCAACCTAACTGGGGCCATCCATAAAATTTCCTACTGGTTGGCTAATCGACTGATAATCGAAGATTTATAAGAGAATTTACAATCATATGCAGCGAAAAAGCTTCGTAATTTACCTTCGATCGCCGTGCCCGAAGCCACCTCTAGGGCTTCCACGGCGTCCATCATAGTCATCTCTACGCGAACGCTTATAAGGTGGAAATGGAGGCGAACGGCGGTGAGGAGGAGAATATCCACCACGTCGGTCACGATAAGGAGGAAGAGGAGGAGGAGGGCTATGGCTAGGCCGTCCACGTTTGTAATCACGCTCTCGACCAGGAGGAGGATGAGGAGGAGAACGGTTACGATCGTAATAGTCTCCACGACCACCCCTACGATCAAAATCCCTGTCATCCCTCCGTTCCCGTGAATCTCTATCACGGCCGCGCCTCGGCGGCGGAGGAGGAGGCGGTGGAGGAGAAGATACCGGTGGCTCTTCGGTCGACTTGTTTGGATTTTCCTTGCTTCGTTCACGGCGGCGTTCTAAACCTTCCGCCGGAGCGTCCATTACCTCAGCCATGGGCGGTGCGGTGGCGGTGACGGTGGCGGGGGAAATCGTCGGAAAGAGAAACCCTAGCTCAGAGTGCAGTGTTGTTTGTAGATGTGGAAATTAGGAGTGACAAATGGAGAATTGAAGATTGGTGAGGGAGTGGAAAGTAAATATCAGATTTTTGAGTTTTAAGGAGATAAAAGGTTTTCGTTACACCCCAAAAGTATTCTTTAATTACTTAGTTTCCCACATAAAAAGAAGATTTTGATTTTTACTCCCCTTGTTTTTTCTATTTCACTTCTACTATACAATTTTAAAATTTGTCCATTTGTTGCGTTAAAAGTAGTTTTGGAGTGTTCGGATAATAAATTTTAAAAATGTTTAAAATCACTTAGTTATAAGCTAAAATGATAAAAATAAGTCAAAATCATAACTTATGATTTTTAGCTTAAAAGTTAAAAAACAAAGTACTTGATACTACGATCATTGGGGGAACAATACCTAATTCTGAAGATGCTCCAGAATCTTTTCGATTACTCGTTCGAAAACTACGATCTTTAGCTCTAGAATTGAATCATTTCCTTGTATATGAGAAGAACTTTCAAATTAATAGGAAGGAAGTTTAATCGAAATGAATAATATTTTTTCTTCTATGATTGATCAATATAAATATCAATAGCTCCGAATTGAATTAGTTTCTCCTCAACAAATAAGTGATTAAGCCACAAAATACTGTCTAATGAAGAGATAGTTGGAGAGGTAACAAAACTCTATACTTTTCATTACAAAACAAATAAATCGGAAAAGGATGGATTATTTTGTGAAAGAATTTTTGGTCCTATAAAAAGAAATTTTTGTGCTTGTGGAAATTATTGAGTAATCGGAGATGAAAAAGAAGACATATAATTTTATTATTACCCTTGTATATAAGCCAACAAGTGTGTGTATGCGCGCGTGCGTGTGTGTAATTTTATTATTGCCTGAACATGTCTGAATATGAAGGACATTTGAGAAACAAGTGGTTTTTTTATGAAGACACTTGTAAATTCATTTATGTGCAACAAAAATTCTTTCTTTCTCACTGAATCTGCTTTGTCTAAAAACCCTTGGGGCATGTTTGGAAAATCACTTTGGTAATTAGATTTGGCATAATTGAATGTAATTACACTGTCTGACATATTTGGTTGGTCATCTATTTTTAATTACTTGGTTAGCAGGTAATTGAGTGTAATTGGCAGGGGGGGGGGGTGGTGGTGTAATTACAAGTTGGTTATTTTTTAATTTCTTCCTTATATTTCTATTTTTCGTTTTTTAATTTATTTTTTATTTTTATTATTTTAAATTCTTTTTTATTTTTATTATTCTAATTGTTTTCTAAAAATATATATTTTTGTTTTATACTATTTACATTTCATTTCCTTCTCATTATCAATCATTACTTCATGTGATTCCATACAATTTTTAGTATTATCTAAAATAAATTTTCATTAGTATAATATTGTTAGTATTCTAATTTTTAAATTAGAGTAGAATTTATTGTTGAATAAGGTTATGAACTTACATTTTTTTTCCTTTTAAATCATGTTTAGGTATGTTATGTTGAAATTTGACACAAGAGTGTTACGTTAAATTTTTTGTTTTGAATTTAGAACTTATGTAATATTTTCAATTTCATTTGTTTTAGAAGTATTGGCCAGATATTTTACATTGCATGTTTTTTTTTAGTTAGACTTGATAGATTATCTTTTTGTCAAATATCTTTATAATTTATAACATTATATTTATAATATTAATCTTTTTGTCAAACATGCATTTCATGATGTACTTTTAATTTTTATGATTAATTTAATTAAAATATACTAAATTGAAAATATAAATGAATTGTTTTTTATAATATTAGTTAAGAACATATGTTTATTAATTAATATATTTTCAAAAAGCGATATATATCTCAAATGTACAATTTAATTTCATTTATAAAGACCCTTATTTGTCTAATATAAATTTTACTAATTTATTTATAAATGCTTTTAGTTTGTGTTAACCTCAGATACAATACCTAATTTTCATTAACACTATGTTTGAATCATTGTTACCCATTGTATTGTATTGTATTGTTACTATACCTACAATGTTTGTTTTGATTATTACTTAAAATGTATTGTATTGTTAAATTTCGTTGTTAAGTAACAACGAAAATCCCTATTTTATGGAACAACCGATTTTGTGTGTTCCCATTGTTACTTAATTTCTTTTTCCAATTATATTTTTACATAATATTTCAAAATACTATTTTACCCTTTACCTTATATTATTTAATTCTAGTCAAACCTGCTACCCTATAATAATTAAGAATATTTTAGTAAATTTATAAATTACAATACAGTACGATACAATCAAAGCAAACAATTAAAATGTTATTAAACAACAACAAACAATACACTCTAGTCAAACATTGTATCTACCATACAGTACAATACAATAGAGTACAATACAATACAATACAATACATTATGAAACAATGGATAACAATAATCCAAACAGAGTGTAAGGAAAATAAATTAAACAGGAAAACATTTAATTTAAAATGAAAACTATATTCAAGGGATGAGCAATTACGATATCAACTCCCTTTTGCCAGGTGCTACTTCGGATTCTTCCCTTTAGATATTAATAAAGTAGTCGAGAAGGATAGAGCTCAACTCACATAAACCAAAGCGTTTTAATTATTTAAATAATTAGCCGACCCAATCCAACTCAGATCTGTGACCCGTGTTTAAAATATCTTTCCTGTTTTATTTGAATTTTCCACTGTTGTAACTTTCAGCAACAACCAGTGCCGGCTCTTGCCTATAAAATTTAAGGCCAATGTACCAAACTGGGGGCCTCAAATTTCTATAAATAAAAATCATGTTTAATTTATTCATGAAAAAAATTTAATTATTTATAATAAAAAGTATATATATATTTTTTTTCTTTGTCAACACTCACATTATTTATCCTTTTTAACTCCTTCTGCACTCTATTTCTTCAAATCTTTAACACTTCTATGAGAAGTGAAACAAGCAAAGACGCTACCGATGATATCCAAGAAGCTCAACCTGTTGAAGCAACTACGTCAGAAGATATTCTGAGAAAGGTGAAGGATTTCCTCCAAAAATTAAAGGAAAAAGACAAACTGTAAGGACATCTCTACAGTAAAAAGCCATCATCAACAGTAGATACACTGTTGATCCACAATAGATACACTGTTAAGGGGACTTATGGGACCCAACATTACTGTACAAAGATTCTAATTTTTTTTTTTTATAAATAAGTTTGTTTTTCATTTCATAAGGATAAGCTTGGAAACCCTTCTCTCTCTACTTTTCTCTCTCAATTGTAAAGCTCTCAATTTGTAAAGTTTGAGTTCACCTGATAATGACCGGAAGTAAATAAACTTGTATAGTTCTCTCATAGGCCTTGGAGTCGGCCATCGTTATAAGGTATTGATTTGTACCCTATTGATTTGTCAGACAATTTTGTGGATGAAATGAAAAATACTTTTGATTTTAAAAATCATGTTTCTTTAAAATTTAATAAACTTCATGGTTATCCCAAGAAGAAGAATAGTACTAAGTTTGCACAGAAACCAAGTATGCAAACCTATTATTATTCCAGACCAACTCCTCAAGATGTGTTAATAGAGGAATGTGACTGGAATCAGACTATTACCTCTTATAATGGGTCTGAAATTATTATTATTAATAATAATAATAATAATAGTAATACTAATAATAATAATAAGAATAATAAGAATAGTAATAGTAATACTAATAACAATAATAATAATAATAAGAAGAAGAATAGTAATAGTAATACTAATAATAATTCAATATGGGCAATTTGGAAATTGTATAAAAGAATTAAGGGCAAAAAGGTAATATACTTGGTCAACATAAAAGAGCTTTTAAGTTAAAAAAAAAAAAGCTCCCCCCCCTAGCTTTTAGCTTTTGGCTTAAAATAAGTCATTTTTGACTTAAAATAAGTCACTTTGATAATTGCCAAACACTCTAATAAGTCAAAAACTGGCTTTTAAGCCAGTTTGACCAGCTTATAAGCCCATCCAAACAGGCTCTAAGTCTCTCATGCCATCCGTGTTCTGTGTGATCTTTTCATATTGAACAGGATGGTACCAAGGCTGTTCAATATGTGAGTCTGAGAATATAAAGTTCACTAGCTCAAGTTGGCTCTACGAATCCACTATCTCAATTTCACAACTATGTCTTGATTGCTAACTAGTTTGAGTTGGCTATAATAATCAATTTTACTCAATTCATGTCTATTTTTAATCTTGTAGACAGTGCAGTTTTATTGATAAATTCATATTAAATTTGAATTAAATCTTAAATTTATAATACGTTGACCAAGTTTGGACCAGTCCATCAAGTTGACAAGACGAGCCCAACTCATGTTCTTCAAGCCCAAGGGTCAAAATCGCTTGGACCAAAATACCTATAAAACTCTAGCTCAAGCCTAAATAAAGAGGTCTCCATAAGACTCTATAAGTCTTTCGCATACAAAGAAGTCTCCGCTCCAAGTGTTGAGCCACAAGTATTTCATCAAGCCAAGAATAATTGTGAAGAAAAGAATTAGGGGATTACATATCTTTTCTTAAAGATTTTATAAAGATTGTAACCTTCACATAAGTTCAAATACAAATACTATTGTTTGCTTGTTGTTTTCCTTTCCTGTTTATTGTATTTCAACTTTAGACGCATACAAATTCAATAATAGAAAATCTTAACCCTATGAGCTTCTGCTTAGAAGTTAATTTTGGGATGTGTGTCTCATTTGATTGTTGAGATAACATGAAGAGACATTGGTAACCAATTTAATGGGCAAGCAAAGTTCAAAAACAAGATCAATTTTAAAATGGAAATGCAGTTCAAAGCATGTATGCGAATGCAATTATAAACTTATTGTTCCTTTATTTTTTTTAACCTTCTATTGTGAAAAAGGTTTTTTTATTTTTAAAAATGAAGTTTAAACAAGCCTTAGACGATGGTGTGATTATAAAAAATTGAATAAGTGCTAAAGGAAAATTTTAAAGTCAAATTCTTTCTAATTATAAACATATGACATTCTTTTTGATAAACTATAAGGAAAAATGTATCACTTTAATTGAGATCGAGGAAGC